TATATATATATATATATATATATATATATAAAATTAATAGAATATAAATATTAATCAAAAGTAAACTAATTTAACTTCATTAAAAAGCAATCAAAACATTATAATTCGAAAAGAAAGGTTTAGAAAAATCATTAAAGTTGTTATAATTTAAAAAATGGTTTTTTAAGGATTAAAACGAAAATGACAAAATAACATAATAATTTTCCGTTAAGTCTGACAGAAAATTATTAACTATTCGAATAATATCGGCAAAAAAAAACATATTTTTAATACGGTCAAATGTTATTTTTGTTATTTCCGTATCAATTCTTAAAAACTATTTTTTCGAATTATGACGATTTCAATGATTTTTTTTGTCATCTTTTTTGAAAAATAATTTTTCGTAGGAATATTAATATAATTCGATTGCAAATACATAGGTAACGGATATAAAATTAATTCTGAAGGCCTATTTATTAAACCGTACGATTTCAAGAGATTGATTTCAGCTAAGTTGTTAGGTCAAAGATGTCGATATATTTTAAATAAATAAGTATTATATTGAAGTGTGTTATAAAAATGAGAGATAATTCGAGTGACATGTTCCATTTAGTCGATTTTTTCGTTGGTTCTCATAAAACTTTAGAATCGTTGAAAAATACGGGAGAGCGATTATTAGACGGCGCGCGACGGTAATTCGTCTTGCAGATTTCCTTTTAAATCGAATTAATTTCTGCATTCAGCTATTCATAATTCACGATATTATATTCACCTTCATTTAGGATCGCGGAATATTTTATGGTTTTGGTAGATATCATTCAGCGAGATACCTTATCGATTATCTGAGGTCTGAGGTATCGGTATATCGATATATATTATAGTATAGTTCATGCGAAATGCGAAATCATATCGATTAGAAAGACAAAGATAAAGAACAAATATTGCAGATTAAATCTTATATTTAGATGCATCCAGAAATTATACTATAAAAATCGCCGAACGTTTTTGTATCTTTTTATGTTTTAGGTAGCTAATTTTTTTCGGTATTAGAAGAAATATGTAGCAAAAAACTATTTTGATGTAGAATGAATTGTGCTTGCGACACGAATGAACAAAAGGAAAAAAAACGTACAGCTATTTGCGAAGCGAAGCCGATCGGTCTTTTGGAAGTTCGGGAACGCTTAACACAGCTGCGGAATCGAAAACGCCGAGCCGTCAAGTCGTGAAAATGGTTCGGGCAGATCGAAGAGCTTAATCCCAACATCGCGAGAAGAATTCAATAGGAGAGCCGTTCAGTTCGCCTCTGCGCCGAGAGCACCCTGCCTATCTTTTTCACAGAGTTTTCCCATTTTCTATCTCTCCGCGTTGAATACATTTGCGTGCTGCCGTCGGCACTGTCGCCGTTTTCTCCTCGTCGCGTAAAGAACGTCATCGCGGTGTAAAATGCTTGTCCAAGAGAATCTTTCAAAGTTCCTCGCGCATTAATCATTTCTCGTGTTTCGTGCGGTCGGATTTTCAGTGACCATCATTAATTTCCCAAGCGAAAACTTGACAAGAGGTTTCCCTGTCATAAAAAAAAGTCGAACAAGTTCTTATCCTAATTAGCAATTTTTGAAGAATTTGTTGATTGAGTAAACAGATAAATGATGACACATTATTTGTTACGAGATCTACGATAAAAGAGACATTACTACAATATAAAAAGTAAAACAAGGATTATTTTAAAATTCAATTGAGAATGTCTATTCTCTCTGTTCGTATATTTCATCTCAATTAAAAATTCGATTTTTATCTTTTAAGAAAATGACGATCTAATAAATAGATAAATAATGTGACATATATAACTTGTTACGAGATACAGAAGAAATTGTGATAAAAGTAAAACAAACATTATATTAAAATTCAATTGAGAGTGTCTGTTCGATTCTAGTCTGTAATATTCTACTTCAATTTAAAATCCGATTTTGGTCTTTTAATTCTTTTCTCATTCGTACGACCGCAATAAACCTCTCGATTTGTCATTATTAATAAAACACGTATCAGCTCGATGAAAAGTTATTACGCGTTACACAAAACATTCTGGATCGCAACGACAGACATTCGGCCTGTCAGCTGCCAGTTTAACTTTTAGTCGATAAACCGAACCAGACGCTCTAGACGTTGGTTTTCGTTCATGTTTAGCAAAAGGACGCGATGTTCGATAAACAACAAAAATCTGCTTTTGGTTGATATCTTTTATCACTCGCAAAATTCCCCATTTTAAAGCTGGTTCTACATTAATCG